GTGACCAAGTTACGCCTTAATGCTTAAATCACATCTGAACGATATTTGTCACCAAATCCTATGTAAAATGTCCTATTTTATGACAAAACTAATAAACATTTTGTTACAAAAAAACAGGATAATGATATGTCCGTTCCCTTTTCCACCACCATGCTTTCCCTTCTTTCATAGAACAAGCTATGTTTTTCAACAATTTAGCCGTGTCTAATCACCATTTAGATTGTGGGCCCTCCTTACCATCTTGTCTTGAATTGTGATTGTAATGTCTTCCGTATATTGTAAGGCGCTGCAAAAACGGTTGGCGCTATATAAATCCTGTATAATAATAATATATTTGCACTCACCAGATAGTATCGGCCACCTATTACAGGTTAAACCAAAAGCACTTGTTACTCAAAACTCCTTCCGCCACTATGCTCGTCTGTCCTTTTTAGGGATCGTTGGCTAAGGTTCCCCTCCTTGGCTTTCCCCCTTTTTCTCTTCGATCTTGAACACCGTTGCTCAAGAAAATAGATGCTTCCCATTTTGTAGTACATTAAAATAAGTTTAAATGGCTAAAAAAGATGAAATCTTGCTCTTTGAGTAATGCTCAAAATACATCAGGATGGCGTTTCTCAGAGTTGAACCGCGATGCCTGTATGCTCCTCCCACCTACCAATTTCCCCCAAACTTCCCACAATACAAGACTCTATGCCAATATATTATGAAAATTTCAGTTTGGGTAAAACATAGTTACATAGTATTTGAGGTTGAAGACATAAGTCCAACCTAACATATCAAAAGTTATTCACATTAAACTTTTTTTTACAATCCTAAAACATTTAGCTTAATGTAAAAAGAGCTTAACCCCTTCTTGACGTGAGACGTACAGTGTACATCCCGCCACAAAGGGACCAAATGACTTTTCACGTACACTGTACGTGACTAGTTATTTGCTGCACTAGAAGGCTGGTAACCGCTGAAAATCAGCGGTTACCATTCATTAATGTATCCCTCAGTTTAGAGGCATCCATTAATAAAAGGGTTAACCTTTTTCAGACACCCGATATTAGATACCTTAATATCGGGTGTCTGAGAGTCAAAGCAGAGCAGGCACAAATAGTGAGATTAATTCACAATGACTGCTTGATATAATTAAAAAAAAAAAAAACATTAAGTTTAAAAAAATAGTGAAAAGCGTAAAAAAAATAAAAAAATAAAAGGGACAAATAAATGAATGTATTTATTGCATTTTTTTTTAGCTGTGCTGGTTTTGTAAAAAAATACTACAAATCAAAACTGGGAAAAAAAGTGTTTTTTTTAAAGTTTTTTCCTCTTTTTAATATTTTATTTGTCCTAAGTGAGGCGTTAGACACACATATGTGATATAAATATGTTGCCCTATCTGTCCTCTAAAAAACAATATATAATATGTGTGGGTGCACTTTGTAAGAAAGTATATTACTGACATGGAAGAATCACACAGCAAAAATGTCAAAAGTGTGTCAGTCATTTACGAACAGAAAATGCATCTAAACCTCAATCAATCAATTGCCCTGGAACTTTGCACAGCCTAAGTTTTCAACTTCTCAAACCTATCCTAAGGGCCTGTTCACACGACGTCTGTTTTCTGTGCTGACCTGATCCGTACGCTCCTGCAATAAAAATGCATCCCTATGTGTTTTATGGGCTACAGTTCTCACGTGGGCAGTCCGTTCAGGTTACATGTCACATTTTGTGACATGTCACATTTTGTCCGGTCAGGAAACGGACCGGAAACGCAAAACGCGTCAAAAACGCACTGCACTGCAGCTAACATACTGACAGCACCACTCCAGGGGGCTGTCAGTATGGAACGTATCAAAAACGCGGCCAAAACGCACTCTATCAGTAGCACCGTGTCTGCAGATCTGCACCTGATCCGGACCTGATATCATTTGAACAGGCCCTAAAAGTTTCATGGTTTTTGGTTTCCCACAAAGCTTACATTAAGCTTGTTTTTTGGGAAGCTTAACTACAAAAAAGAACTTGTTAACCAATTTCCTACAAACTTCACACAATGCAAGACTATCTATGCCCACATATTCCTAAAATTTAAGGTTGTTGGGTAAAACAAACCAAAAAAGTTATTCACATGTTTACAGTCCTAAAACATTTAGCTTCATGTAAAAACAGCTTAATGTACCTAATTTTCCGTTTCCCAAACCAATCCTGGAAATTTCATGGATTTTGGTTTTCCACAAAACAACCCCGTTCAGCTAGTCACTTCAGCCGAGTACGGCTGATTTGCTCAGCATGTTCGGCTCAGCTGAAGTGAAGAACCTGTTGGATCCAACCTTTGAAATGGCTGAGCCAAATGCCCGGCAGTTCACTTGCTGCCGTTCGCCCCTATTCTCAAAATGACCCGAGGACAGTGGCCTGTAACTGCATGACAACAAATGGGCGGAGCCAGCTGTGAAGTCACCAACAGCTCAGTCTATTTGTTTTCATTTGGCCAGGACCTAAGAAGACCCATTTAATAGCTGACGGCACAATGTCAACAAATAGGCTGTGCCAATAAGGGCATCACTTTTGTCGTGTTTTTGTTCAATTAAAGGATTTTTTTCTACAAGCCTGGTGCGTTTATTTACATTTAACCCTTTAGTGAATGAGTAGGGGTGATAGTACCCCTTACTCATTAGAAGGGGGGTGGCAGCATCTGGGTTCCCAGGCACCTGGGAAAGTACCCTCCGAATGCCGAGGGCATGGATGGGAATTTAGGGGGGAACCCCGCTACCCCCCTCTTGTTTTACTTTTTACCTAGGGGTCCCTCCTAACATTCCTACGAGACCTAAAGGGTCTGGTATGGGGGGAGGGACCCCACGACATCTTTTTTTTTCTTTTAAATGTCCTTTTTTATCCAGTTTGCTACCTCTGAGGAAGCAAACAGAATAACCAAACCAAATGCCGCTCTGCGGCATTCGGCTATTCACTCAATGCTGTTTGGCCCCTATGAGAATAGGAGCAAACGGCAGCAAGTGAACTGCCGGGCTTTTGGCTGAGCTTTTTCAGTCGAACGGGTTCTTCACAGGGAGCCGAAGCCAGCCGTAGTCGGGCTCTGCTGTCCCCTTTGCGGCCCAAGACCGTCTCGGACGTCAGGAGGATCAGCATCTTCCTCCTTGCTGTTCTCCCTCCGAGGTCTGAATGCGGAAGTGATGTGTATTATATTCCACATTCAGCTGTCATTTCTCTGGCTGCTATAGCCAGAGAAGCTGCTGAAGCAGATCTCTTTGGGGGTCCCCAGGTGTAAAAAAAATTTAAGCCCACCCATATATAACCATAAATACGCGTCGTGCGCCAACGTGCAAAAAAGAGAATTACGTTACATATCGAAGCGAATGTCGGAGTAAGAGCAATCATTTTAAGCGCAGTCATCAATGATAAGACTAAACTAATGAGTGGTAAAGGCTTCGCCTATGACCAATTTTGGGTATTGTAGTTTTTTTTAGGTTTTGCGGGCGCGTGCAATTTTAAGGCTTGACATGTTTGGAGTCTATTTATCAGACTTGACACAGTCTTCTATTTTACCAAAAAACTGGGTAATAATAAAATGTTTCATAATTTAATATAGGGGAAAGTTTTTTTCCCCAAAAAATTTACGGTCATTTTTCATTATAGTAAAAAATGAAAACGGCAGTGGTGATTAAATACCACCAAAAGAAAGCTCTAATCTATCCCCCCCCAAAAAAGGTATAAAATGAATTTCAGTACAGCGTTGCATGACGGAATAAATGTAAAAGTACCGTACCGCTGAATAATTAAAAATGGCCTGGAAAGTAAGGGAGTTTAATTGAATTTCAAAAAAAGTGAATAAAATAACTCTAAATCAAAAAATCCAACCCCACCATCTGCATGAATAAACGCACGCATAGGGCATTGTTTGTGTGCGCGGAGTGCTGCCCCCATTCTATCGTGTGTGTCATATTGAGGTAGCAGGGCAGCAGTACCAACAGGCTCAATGTGCATTAAAGGGTAAGTTCACTTTCCCAAGTAATTTGGGAAGATGGAATTACCCGCTCAAATCTGGCCCCCTCTTTCCTCCTCCCTAAAATACTGACCTTTAAGCAAACCGTCCTTCCCGTTAGGCGGTACTGGTGTACTATCAGTTCCCTATACTTTCATCCAGAGCAGCCCCGCACCTCAATGTGCTGACCAATGAGAAGTGCTTCTTTTTCATGGTTAAACACAGTTTTGGTTAAAAATATTTTTTGTATCAGGGCAAGTAGATTGTCATGAGGGACAAGTAGATTGTGCTCCTGCTTTAACCCCTTCATGACTGAGCTAGTTTTTAGTTTCTGTTCCTAAAATGACTGACACACTTTTTACATTTTTGCTGTGTGATTCTTCCACAGCAGCAAGTTTTGATTATACCGTATCATTAATGAAAGAAAGAAGCTTTTAAAAAAGCTTAACTAGTTCATTAATGAATGTCTCAATAGTGAGGCATTAATTAATGACTGGAACTGCTGAGAATCAGCAGTTACCAGCATTACAGAGGCTAATATAACTCGGCACGTACAGTGTACGTGACCAGTCATATAGCCACTTTGTGACGGGACGTACACTGTACGTCTCCCGTCACGAAGGGGTTAATCCTTGGACAAGTAGTTTGTTTGTTGTTTTTAATTTCCACACCCCTGAGTACATACCAACTACTGTTACACTTGTTATTAGCAAGGCCAGAAATAAATTACAGAGTGCACAGGATATTTGAGCATATGAGTTGTATATCTTCCTGCGACACAGCAAAGGCCATAAAGATCTGTGCACATATATCGCAAATAGCAAGAAACAATGGGGGCTATTAAACTAGGCTGCAGGATTCTGCTCAGTAAGATTTTTACATTCTTGTGTGCATTACAATGACATGGCTATTACAATTGAGCCGACTCTGGGTAACCAAGATATTATAACTCCACTTGCACAAAAGGAATAAAGGATGCATAAGGCGGCGAAAATCCATTAACAACAGCAATACATACCATTCAGGATTCAGCTGTTCTCCAAGATTAGTAGCCATTACTAGATTTAAGATCAGACCTCCTTAATGAGTCCTATTAAAACAGAAAGCACATGAATTAATGAGCTACCTACTACTACTGAATGCAAGCTATAAAAAGTGGCCATACACCTTACAATCCTCCCATCACACTTGTTACTTTCCTCTTTTGGCCCTGTCACCACAGAGGAGGTTACAAAGCTTCTCTCCAACACCCACCTCACCACTTGCCCCCCTGGACACTGTTCGCTCACCACTACTTCAGTCACCCTCTTGCTCTATCCTACACTCTCTTACTCACATTTTCAAGCTTTCCATCCCCTCTAAAGCATGCCCTTGTCACCCCAATACCCAAAAAACCCTCAATGGACCCTACCGACCTCAACAATCTCCTTACTCCCATTCACCTCCAAACTCCTAGAACACCATATCTACAGCCGCCTGAGTCGCCGCCTCGCTGATGACAACCTTCTCGACCCCTTACAGTCTGGCTTTCGCCCCCAACACTCCACTGAAACCGCCCTCCTAAAACTCACTAACAGCTAAAAACCACGGCCACTATTCCGTACTCTTGCTATTAGATCTTTCTGCTGCTTTTGACACTGTTGACCACCTGCTCCTCCTCAAAAAACTCCATTCACTTGGCCTACAAGACTCTGCTCTCTCGTGGTTCTCCTACACAAGCGCTACTTTAGAGTCACCTTCAACTCTAACTCCTCCCCTCCTCTTTCTGTAGGGGTCACTCAAGGCTCTGTCCTTGGACCCCTTCTCTTCCCCATCTACACCTCCTCCCTTGGTCAGTTAATAACCACACATGGCTTCCAATCCATCTCTATGCCTATGACACTCAAATATATCTTTCTACTCCACAACTCTGCCCCCGGCTAGATCTCAAACCTTGCCTCAAAGTATCACCCTAACCGTCCACTCATCCCAAGACCTCCTGCTTTCCAGTCCCCTTGTCAACTCCTCCCATGCTCGCCTCCAGGACTTCTGTAGAGTCTCTCCCATCCTCTGGAACTCTTTACCCCAACCAATCCGTCTGTCTCCCACCTTGACTGCCCTAAGGCATTCCCTAAAGACTCATCTCTTCAGGGAAGCCTATCCCACCTCATCCTAACCGCTGAACCATCACATTCTCAAACAATTCATCCCCACACAGCTACCTCCTCATGTATTACTTCCCCCTCCCTTTTAGATTGTAAGCCCTCACAGGCAGGGACCTCCTTACCATCTTGTCTTGTGATTGTAAGGTCTTCCTTATATTGTAAAGCGCTGTGCAAACTGTTGGTGCTATATAAATCCTGTATAACAATAACAACAACTAGGGATGCACCGATAACGGTTTTTTGGTATCGAGTACCGATACTTATATTTCGGTACTTGTCGATACCGAGTACAGATACCGGCACTTCCAGTAGCATAGAGCCATCTTCCCGGGCAATCAGGAAGGCTTCTTCATTGCCCGGGAAGCCAACTCCATTCTGTTTGGCTGGGATCTGACAATATGGTGACACGACCCGGCACCTAATTCCCCTCACATAGATGCGTATCGCATTCATTAACGTGCCAGTCCCTCGGCCAGCGCTCTCCAAGATCTCCCCACGTCTCCCGTGTACAGCGCCCACGTGATCAGCGCTCAGCCTGCTACTGTGCATGCGCAGACTGCCCAGTGCTCTCATTCAGAAATCCTGTGCATGCACAGTAGCAGGCTGAACGCTGATCATGTGAGCGTTGTGCAGTGTGCACACAGGAGACGGCAGATCTGGCCGACGAACTGAATGCTAAGGATCTATGTGAGGGGAATTAGGCACCTGCAGGGTTTGGGTCGTGTCGCTATATTATCAGATTTGTTTGCCAGACTCTACACTGATTGGCTGGGAAGCCGGCTTCCCGGCCAATCAGCATCAAGCCAGCCAAACATCATGGAGCCAGCTTTCCGGGTCCATCTTTCCTCACCGCACTGCCAGTCAGAGGAAATCTTCCTCTGACCGGAAGTTCTAGTATCGGGAAAGGTATCGGAGCATTTGGGCGAGTACTCACCGAAATACTTGGTATCGGCACCGATACTAGTATTGGTATAGGTGCATCCCTAATAACAACCACTGTACAACTTTTTTTGTCCAGACATCTCATGCTTGTTCAATTTTCGTTCAGCTAGCCAATCATGCACAGACCAATGTAGTTCACAATTAAGATTCGTCAGCACCACTAAGTGGCCGATTTTCATCGATCGAAAGAACACATTTTCGTTTGAGCATGTGCAGTTTTCATCTTGAGACTTTTGTTGTACAACAACGCCACTAACCTGTCGATTTTTATCCAACTAGATGAACATTTTATAGCCTGCTTGAAAGACAAAAATCTGCCAGTGTACAGTAATTGAGGTTGTGCACTTCCCATCAACTGGCAGATTTTCAGACAAAAATACGATCGCAAAAATCTGTAGATAATTGTAAGTTGTATGGGCACCTTTAGGCTACATTCACATCTACGATGTAGGAGCAGGAATCTCAAATCTGCTTTTTACAAGCGGCAGCTGTCACCCATTCAAGTTATTGATTTGGGTGACAGCAACCGCATTTGAAAGCAACAGAACGCTGGCACACCGCAAGTAAACATATGTGATACGATTGCATGCGCTTAGGAATCGATCACTATCCCGGGACGCACCGATTGTGTGTCCAGGGTTAGTGATTGATTCCTAACTGCATGAATAAAAACAAACAGTTTTCAACCTCCACTGTGATTTACTGCCAGAAGCAACTCCCTACTTTACTGCAAGTAAACATTTAAAGAAGAACTCCAGGCAAAAGTGTTCTTAACCCCTGCAGTGGGGCTACCCCCATACTGCAAGGGCTAAGTGCTCATTTTTGCTAGGCTATACTACCTAAACCGCCAAGCCAGCTCCCTGCTTCTCTGTTCACTGAAGCATGTCTCCTCCTACGCTGCGGCTTTGGAATGTACCTCGGCATCCTCACATCTATACACTATGTATAGAACATGATGGTTTACGGGACCTTAGACTGCTGCAGAGAAGGGGGAGAGAAGCTCCAAGGACGGATGTAAGAGCAAGTCGGCTCAGAGGATCGGTTGAAAATAACCTTTTTTTTAACCTAGACTAAAATGAGTACTTAACACTTGCTGTGATGGGGCAAGGGTTTATAAAAAAAAGTCTGTCCGGAGTTCATACAGGGGAGCGGTTTAACCTTTCAATGAATATGTATCATCCGTGCAATCTGAAGATTTACGACGCACAGGAAATGCCACGCACACCTAACCACATTTCACTATACTCGATTAAACACAGTGACGGGTAACATCTGGCTGGCTGCTCTCGGTTACCGCGGAGTTCGGCCAAAGGAGCTCTATTACCGAGCACACACCAGAGTGCTGTATTACCTAAAGGCTCAGTCAGAGCAAACAGGAAATGGAGGCCTCCTCCGGACTGTCTGGCGGCACACAGTGTTCGCGGTGAGCTTTCCCCCTTTGCTCAGCCGTAGTGCCGAACTCACTTCCCGTGTATGTTTCAGCCAGAGAGCTGTGTACGATCACGTTTACTTGTGTCCGGGTCCCCTAACTCCCATCGACGGTACAACTTCACAAATACAAAATGTCGGCAGTCATCCACCCAATCACTACGTAGGTTTATTTCCCCCCCCCCGTCATTACGTCCTTGGTGTGATGTCATCACGTTCGGGCAGTTAGCCGAACGCCTATAAATGGAGAATTCCTATAGGTGCCTCTGAGCTGAATCTTGAAAAAGAGCAGGCGGCTCTTCCAGTAAATAAAGGAGAAGCTAGAAGAAAAGGATATCAAGTCAACCCTCCCCGTGTATAGTAATATAATTTGCAATTGAAATGACTTGGGATTTTTCATGTTTTCTATGGAATGACTGGTGAATGACACAATGGAATATGCTACTGTGCGGGTAGAGTGCGTCTTCTAATGATTTATTTGATTACGTCAAATAATTCTTACTGCAAGTCCCATCTTTCTTCCCAATGTACTCTAAGGGCATTCCATTGTGTCATTCACTAGTCATTCTATGGAAAACATGAAAAATCTCAAGTAATTTCAATTGTAAATTATAGTACTATACACGGGGAAGACCTGCGATAAAGGTTAACTTGATATATTTTTCATGCCTACAAATTATCTGATACTTTGCTTTCCATTACTCTCTATGGGCATTCTGTTGGGCTTCATTATAGAGCTATAGAGAATACAACAGTTCCCACACTATCCCACCAATATATTTAAAAAAAAACAATCACCGTGGGGGAAGCAGGCACTCTTGATCGTTTGCGGGCAGCGGCGAGTCAGGGAGCTCAGAGCATTGAGGAGAGGAGCAGAGGCATGTCCTCAGTGTGTGAGGGGCATGTGCGGCGCGCAGCTCAGGTCGTGTGTGGAGCCACGAACAGGCTAACTAATCAATGATGGAAAACGTTGACAACGTTTTCCATCGTCGATTTTAATTGACTACATCGATTAGTTGTTACTTTTATTTTTGTTACCCAATGGTATGCACTTGGAATGCGTTATGTAATGTATTCTTAAAACAATCCCACTTCTCGTCAGTGGTTAGAAATAAGTTGTCCCATTTGGTGTCGAATACTAGCTGGCGCAGCTTATCAAAGTTTGCCTTTCTGTAGTTTAGTGTTCTTGTCCGACCAACACACTTCTCTTTTGTGTTATTGGAAATTATTAAATCTAGTATTGCATTTTTCCTAGTTGGAACCTCAACCATTTGATCCAGGAAATTGTCCTGCAACAGGTTCAGAAAATGGCCCGCCTTTAGCGAATGAGAGGTTCCATCAGACCAATCAATGTCCGGATAATTAAAGTCGCCCATTACAACAACATTACGCTGCTTCCCAGCTATTTTTATTTGGAAGTGTAGGTGAGCCTCCTCCTCTTCCCCTATATTCCCCTATATTCGGGGGTTTATAACACAAACCCACAATTAGTTTACGACTAGCATCAGTCTTATCTGGTTCTAGCCACAAGGACTCTACCTCATAGCGACTCCCTGCCGTGATGTCATCCCGTACGTGCACAGTTAGATTATTTTTAACATCCATGCATACCCCCCCCCCTCCCAACCCTGTCCCTCCTGAACAGGTTGTACCCTTCTATATTGATAGTCCAGTCGTATGTGTCGTACAATTGGT